ACATATTCTTGATCGTTCGTAGTCTGAGAATGTAGAGAAACTCCTACTGCTATGTCTACATAGAAATAAATTGATATTTATATTTTTTTAAATAAATAAACATACGTCGTTTGTAAATGATATTCAGTTTCGGGAAGAAATCGCAGAAAAAAAAAGTTTCAGAAACAAAAAAGAAACAAAAAAAATAATCATTTAGGCCATACAAAATTGATTATAATCAGATTTAGTTATAATTTCTGTTGCTAGACACGGATAGTTTTAAAAAAAATGGATAGTTTTAAAAAAATGGCAGTTTCACAAGAAGGAAAGTCGTCCTCTGTGTTAGAATTTTACATGAATAAGTCCGTAATCACCGTGAAACCTGTAAGTGGTAAAAAAAAAACTGTTTGAAATCCTGCCCCTGTCCATTGTTGGTTTCTTTAAAGAAAGTTCAGTAGCTTACTGTTCTTGCAGTGACATATATATATATATGTATATATATATATATATTTTTAAATTCATTTAATGCTTTCTTTACGTGATGAGTAATATGTGGGCAACATAAATATTTTATTTTATGTTTTCGTATGAACAAATTGATATTTATAATACATAATAAAATATTTTACATTAGAGAGTAATACCTGCAATGATGTCGAGTGTGCAATATTTCATCCATTCCAGGATATCGAATATTTCATTCTTCTGCAATTGTTTGAGTTTTTCCACTAAGACGTTTGAATGCTCCATAAATACATTTTGATCATCTTTCAGATTCCGAAGATGAAAATGTGGAGCGAAATATTTTCTTCTTCTTCTCCAATCATCGTCAGAACTTTATTTAATTAAATTCAGAAAACTGTAAACAACGATATTTAAACTAATTATCAAATAATGCATTACCTGTACAGAAAACTGTTGTCTCCGAAAAGTGGCTTGAAGAAATCATGGACAGAATCCCTATTTGTTAAACTGTTGCTTCGTAACACTTCCTATAAAACGTAATACTGAATATTTCCATTCGTAATGAATATATTACATAACTAGGCATGTTTTATTACCTTTGCAGATTCTGGATGTAAGAAAAAAATTAATTTATATCCAAATATGTTTATACAGACGACTTTCTCGTTTGTAAATAGCATAGGAAGTCCGGTAGAGAGATTTGTATTCACTGGAAAGTTACGAAAAAAATATTTATGTCTTCATAAACAGTGAAATTACTCAATAAAATATTAATGACTTACAAATGCCGATGTATGAATCGTGGTATTGTTTGTCACATTGAGAAAATACAATATTCCACAAAAATGGTAAAATGGACATAGTCGGAAGACTCTTTTTTAACTCCTGGCCGTTGTCTTTATTTTCTGAAAAATTAATATCTGATAAGTTGATAACGAGCATCGTCAGCATGACGAGCATTAATTTTTTTATCATATTTTTCATTTATTTAATTTAAAATATATGACCTCGACTCAAATTAGTGTTTGTTTACCTCTGCACAGTTCATCATACTTTTCCTTTAATAACAGAGTCGTGCCGGTCATTTCTCTAATACCTTTCAGGGGAAATATTTGAATTGGAATAATACGACTTCCGATTTTCACCGAAAGTTCTTTTATAGTTATTCAGGGCCGCACGTGCAGATGTCCACGGCTTTTCTCGTTCGTCGTATATTTCACCACGTTCTTGAAATTAAGGACGTCAATCGATAATAGGAATTTTCTGGCCTACAGTTATTTTTAATCTCAGCTCAATAAGTTTCGTTAACAATGTTAGAATATGCAAAATGTATATTTTGAAATAATTATTGGATATTTTTTAAGTTGTAAAAAATATTTTTATTGCTAAATTCTGTTTGCTCGTATTGTAGATAATTCAGTAAACTAGGAGCACTTTCAAGTGCAGCAACGGCTTGCGAACCTGTTTTACATCATAAAGAATGCGCTAAATTTAAACGACTTGTGACTTTGCATAAGCAGCAGAGAAGGTGGTATTATGGACCCCAATTATATTATAGTGAATTGTAAAGAAGTTATCATAACTACACCCACATTTTTTGTGCAAAAAGTACTGGTAACTAGTAAACTAAATGTTCCTAATTACATTTTTCGCTAGTTTAATTATAAGTATTGTTTTTGAAGTCTTCGTTACAAACAGTCAGAAAGTTGGCTTAGGGAAAACCGAGTGGTAATATGGAATCTTACTGTATGTTTTCAAAACATGCTTTAATGTATCCGAAAACAAAGAGGTTAGTACAAAATTATTTATTCCAATGTATTTTATCGAAAAAATGCTTTTATAATAGAAAAACATGACCTCCATCAACAATATATATTCCAGAAGCTTTCTTCGATATTCTCAGGAAGAATTGGCTTTCTACCTAGTGTCTTTTTCACAAATTGCTCCGGACAAATGTCTGTTTGCAAAGAGAGAATTCGGAGGACTTGGGTTCCATATTAAAAGCACCAATGCATCGCCATCTCGAATGAACTTATGTCTGTCAAGATCAAACTTCAAAAAACGTGAACATCACACAGATTAACGGTCCTTAAGGCCATTTTTGAATTTTTTTTTTTTTTTTTTGATATTTGGAATGTTTTAAGTCTCCAAATTTTTTCAGATTTTTTTTTTCGCGCGAAAAANGTTAATAAACTGATTATTATTATGACTATGATTAATAATTTCAAAATAAATGATCAGCAATAATAATTTTAGTATTTAAAAAACTTTACAATTCATTTTATTTTTTTAGTTTTCATAAAATATCTTGAAACAATAAGGCAAAGTTTAATGTATATTTTTTAATTATTATAAAATTAATTTGCAATAATAATTTTTACAATTTGTTTAAATATCCGAGTAAATCATAACACGACATTTTAAGATAACATTTTAAAAATAAGACAAAGTAGAATAAAGAAATAGTTTAATATAATAATTATTTAAATTACATTTGTTACTTATTTATTAAATATGGCAAAGATAACAATCTTTTTTATAATATTTGTGGCAATAACAATTTTTTAAATATTATCTGATGTTTGACAATGAAGAAGTTCGATGTCTAAATAACTGTAGCTCCAGTTTTAAAAAAGGTTTCTTTTTCTTATTTATCTATTTTTAAATAAAAATAATATGTTATACATTGCAAAATGATTTCATATCTTTTGTAAATTACTATGTTTAATCCAACCAGTTATATCCAATGTTTTTCATCTATAAAATTTAATTCGTGGATTTTTTTGGTAGAAAATTGACTTGCCATTTATCTTTCGCCTATAGTTGATACTTTTTAACAGAGTCTATATAAATGTCTATTACAGCTTTTATATGACTGTGTAATGCTTTTATAGCCAACTGTCAGTAAATAATTTCATGCTCTTTCATTTGAAATGCTTCAAAATCTATTAAAATCGCATTCTGTAATTTTATATAAATTAAAATTAGTATTAGTATCATTTTATATTTCATAAGAAAGTAACGAAAGATTTCATACATAAATATTTTTTACTAACCATATTGAATTTTTATTGATATAGCAAACATCTTATCTTCCTATTTTTGATATTATAACACGATTATATTCAATTATTCCATTCATTTAATCAAAATGTTAATGTAAAATCTGTAAAAATATAATTCTTAAAATTTATATTGTAATTGAATTGAAATGATACTTATGTTTTTAAAATAAAAAAAAATTTAGTTACTAAAATGAAATGAAAGTAAAAAATATAAAGTATAAGAATTTAACTCATATTGTACAGTAGCAATAATAATAATATTAAAAAAGTGTTTTTCTTTAAATCAGATTTAAACTGTGTGATCAAACAAACTTATTAATCTTTGAATTACTATATGGTTTAACTGATAAACTATAATTAGAGATATTAAATTTTTAAAATGAAACGCTGATATCGTTTACACACATTTTATTACAACATACATACACACAACGCTTATTATACACATTTTCGTTTTTTTAATTATGAACTCATATAATAATCTAAATCGAGGTCAGATATCAATAAAGTTTAAGAATAAATTTTACAGCAATAAGGTAATTTATTTTAAAAATAACTTATTTCATTAAGTTAACTAAAAACATAATAAAATTGTAACACTATTAATAATATTATCATTTTAATTAATTTCTATACATTTAAATTTATATTACTGAGTATTTATTTAAATATAATTAAGAAAGAGTTTAAAGAATATTAAACTCCAAGAAAACGAATTGTGATACTATTGTACC